GGAGGTCATCACGACGGACTGCACAGAAATCCCAACTGTTCCATTCAGTCTGCAGCTATTATACACACACACACAACACACACACACACACACACACACACAAATATTGCTTGGACTACCTATAAATGGACTTGCTTCTTGTGTTTGAAACACTTGTGTGCATGAGAATGTCATTTGCTAATGAATTTTAAAAGCATATATTACAAAACAAACAACCTGCCACAATGTGATATGTGTAATATCATTTCATTAAAAAAAAGAAAAGAAAAAAGAGTTCTCCTCCTCCAAAGCCTGGGCAGAAATGTGCTGCAAAGAGTTATATGATTTCTTGTTCATGTTCTGCTAATGCTCGCGTCTCCTTGATTACATAATGTTAGTAGTACTGAGACCCCCACGGTAATGTAACCTAATTATAAGCTGTGTCACCATTCTCCTGTAAAATAGTACTGGACAGACACGCGGAGGGGCCCTTGGCCTCTCTGTGCGGTCCACACACACAAGAGCTTGTGTTATCAGTGAATATAAATGTACGACATTTGCATGCCTTTTAGGTTTGCCTTAATTCTTACCTCATTTGCATCCTACCGATCTGGAAAGAGCTATGTTGGAATTAATGCAGCATAAAACTTAAAACCCCTGCTAAATGACTCATTAATTAAGTATATCTATCTATATATACATATACACAAAGATATTATTTATTGAAAGTAAAAAAAAAAAGATGGATGTGTATTGATTTCTGCTTGAATTTTCAAAGACTTCCAAAGAGGTGGCAATCGATGTCCCAAATAAATTGATAACATTTGACTTTTTCCCTCAGTTATTTCCTAATTTTAAATTTGAAATAGGTGTTCAGAATCATCAAGGGTCAGGAGCAACAACTTACTAAATCTGCCTTTAAACACGCAGCGTGGGACTTCGAAGAACTGATGACAACCAAAGGGCAAAAACGACTTCCCGATGCTTCCTCCTGGCCTTCAGAAGACAGACAATTAATGCAGCATGTAGAAGTTAAACGAAACATAAAACGTGCTCGTTCTCAAAACACACTCACCGTATGGCAATAAATGCTATCTCAGTGTGACCGTGGTGCTAAGCACACGTTTCGTCCTGCACGACCACGTGGAGGACACAGGCTGAGATGCATTCTCAGAAGGAGCCGGGAGGAAAGCAGACCCCCGTTTCTCCTGATCAAAAGTTGTTTTAACAATGGAACAGAATTCTGAGCCTTTCAAGCTTGACGAAGGAAGGCAGAGAGCTTCCATCAAGAACCCTGGAGGGGGGTCTGCATTTTCAGAACGAGTCCGGAGGAGCCGGCTGCTTTCTGCAGCTCTGTCCAGCACAGCTTTCCGTGATGTTGGAAACGTCTGTGCCTGCACTGGCTACGTGAGGCTGTTGAGCGCCTCAGGCTTAGCTGGTGCGACTGACAACTGCATTTTTCATTTTATTTTAGTTAATTTAAATTTAATTTGCCATATGTAGAAGGCAGCTACAGTATCAGACAGTTCATTGCTAAGTTACTCGCTTTTCATGGAGCACCTTTTTTTTTTTTTTTTTTTCCTAAATGCTCTTCCTTTTTCTGTCTTAGGATCATTACATGGGACCAGAGACCAGGGCTGATGACTCCATTCACCCATTCAACAGGAAACCGGGAGCAAGCAAAGCTCCCCACGAGCACTCAGGACACAGACGGTACCTGAAACCCTCCCTAGCAGACTTTGCCCACAGAGAGAACGGTCTCAAGTGCCCTTAATCCCTGTGCTTGGTGAGTCCGAGGTGGAGGCAGGGAGAGACGGGACGTTCAGTGCCTCTGATAACTCTCTCCTCTGACGAAGTGAGGGTGGGGTGAGGGGAGGAGCTGGGGAGCCTCCTTAAAAAGGCACTCAGTTAAGTCCAGCCATGGGCAGTGCATGATCCTCACTGATCACCTACCTACTGTGCACCCAGCACCATTCCCAGTGGGGAGACGGACAATAGCTGAACACACACACACACAAATGTGAGAACCATGAAGCAAAGCACAGCAAGTGAAGAGGGGTGGAGAGGGATGGGGCGCAGCAGGGGCTACTTGCTCCGGGCTGGTTGGGAGACACTGATGTAAGACCTGAGGGAAGGGAGTGAGCCACGTGCGTATTTGGGGCCCTTCTGAGAAACAAACCCTCCAGCAGACTCACTGGTAAATAAGTACATACAACGGAGAAGTGGGACACAAGTGAACATCTTGTTGTTTGCTTGTTTTGGTCCTCACTGCTTGCTGGTGTAGCCCGGGGCAGGCCCCGAGAGCAGTCCAGCAGTGCTGGTGAGAATAGTGCACAGCTGCCCTCTGACTCCGGGGTGTGTTACCCAGGAAGCTCTCAGAGGGCTGAAGGGGACCTGTCCCAGGATGTCCATGACAACTCTGTTTCTGGTGTGGCAACTGGAGGCCACCTAGTGGTCCATTACTAGAGGGCCAGGTAGGTAAGAGGTGGTGGACACATCCTAAGGCAGACCGCGCGTCCACTGGGAGCAACAGACCAGTGTACACGCAGCAACATGCATGTGTTTTTAAAATGCTGAAAGGGGGGAAAAAGAAAATTTACTGCACAATCTATAACATATATAAATGAACAATACATTCTCTCACAGGAGAACACCAAAAGCACATAAAAGGAAATATTACAAGAGAATTGCGGCCCGGGGGTGAGTGGCAGTGGCACTGCTTGAGTTACTACTGCACCACGACGTCCCATCCCTAAATGCAGTGGCTTTCCCCTGGCTTCTGTGGGTCAGGGACTTGAGGAGGGTTCACCTGGATGATTCTGGCCTGGGGTCTCTCAGACAGCTGCAGTTGTGTGGTCGCTGAGCTGAACAGGTCCCGGGAGCAGCTGGGAGCTGACAGGGCATCGCTCTCCTTCCAGCCTCAGGGCTTCTTCACTTGGGCTGGTTTGCGCTCCTCCCAGCACGGCGGCTTCGGAGCAGGCATGCTGCTCACGTGGGGGTTCAGGCCTCCAGCACAAGTACTCCTGCAAAGAGGCTGGAAGTTTCATAGTGCTTTCTGACCTAGCCCCAGGTCATGAAGTAGCACTTGCACAAACCTATCCACAGTCAAGAAGGGAATTAGACTCTGTCTTGATAGGAAGGGCAACATGTGACAGGGGAGATGTGGTTGCCACCATCTTTGGAAAACAGTCAGTCACAGTTCACCTTGTAGCCACAATTCTCATCTCTTCCACATACAGAACGTGTCCACCCCCCCCCAGGCAACCACAAAGTTCTCATAACACTGTGACTTTGGGGTCAGGCTCGAGGCCCCAACCCTTATCATCGAAAGGCTCCTCAGATGTGGTTCGTTAGCCCATCGAGGACCATTCTTTTTGATCCAAAGGCCCGTGAATCCAGTGGCTAATTACTGGCCCTCTCCCCGGCCCGTACGCAACGCGGAGTGTTGGAACAGGCAAAGCACGACTGCAGTAGGGACGCTTTCAAAAACGGTGCCATGGAAAGCGCACGGCCGTCTGGCCCACAGCAAGTCTGAAACCACCCGGGACGTCTTGCGTTTCTGGGTTAGTCAGGGCCCAGGCCTGCCCTGTGCGGGCTGTTCTCCATGGCTTGTGGCTCTGCCTTTTGTGTTCTTGCTTCTACCCTCTGAGCTGGCCTTCCTTTTCCATAAAAAATGTAGTCTGTGTTTGTACTCGAGTAGTTTTCTCTGCCTACTGCGGCCCATGAAAGTCTAGAAGTACAAAGCCTTTTCATTTTGTACAATCTCTTTCAGTCTAAGTTGATACAAGTCTTGAAAAAATCTTATGGGTTTTTAATGTATCAATTTATAAAATCCACTCAATTAGACAGGGCTCCTTGTGTGACTGCTAAGGAACACACTCCGAAGTCTTGGAAGCCTGTTGTTCAATGGAGAGGACCAGAAAGTCAGGCCCCTGGAAAAGGGCCTGAAAAGGTCGAAAAGCACTGCTTCAGAGCTCTCTGAGGTCCTAACTAAGGATCCTTGTGGTTCTACCCTGGATTTAAATTTGCACTGAAGCCACTCCCTACTTTAAAAACCAGTTGTCATCTGAAACAGCGTGGGAATAAACAAACAGCCCTGGCTCCTTTATACGTAACCAGTTCCTCTCTCCCCTCACATTTTGTCACAGGCAGCAAGAAGCCATGGGGCACTTGTCACGTTCTACCCAGACATCTCTTCAGCTAGATCACCAGTTTATTAGGTGCATTTCCTGCTTTCCAGGTTACCACGGCATCAGCAGGGCCAACTTTCCACCACTACATAACAAGGGTCCTCTGTGCTCTTTCTTCTTTGCAATAGCATTTTCCTTACTTTCTTTTAGTCGTCACCATATCAAGCATCCTTGAGACCCTGTAAGTGTCTGCTCACGCTCTCTGCAAGGCCCTGTAGGCTTCCACTAGCATCTTCAAGGCCCTTTGGATGCACGTGTTTGTGAACCTAGCCCTCAAGTTCCTTCCAGCCAGCGCCATGTGGCTTAGAT